TGTCACATTTTTGGACCCCTAATTTCTGGAATTACAAATGTACCATGCATGTTGGGAGGCCCACACACTGAGGTACCGCTGTGGTGTACTTGTTAACATGTGAGATATTTCTCTTTACAAGTGTGCCCTTCCAATATACGGGTACATGTACACGTACCAGGGAAAGGCGGTTTTTCATGCGACTGACTAATCATGTAATAAACCTGCAGAAAAACAGGTTAAAGTACAGTAACTCTCTGCAGCTTTATTTTCATTCAATGTTGTGGAACTACTGAAGCACTGAACTGGTTTGTACTGTACACGTACATGTAGTTTGTATTACAAGGAGAATGATTGCTCATGCTTGTACTGATTCATAGTACATGTACATGTATTGTGACAGAATTTCTTGCTCTGGATCTGACCAGTGCACAGATTTGGAATTGTGTAGAAGTGCCTTGAAAAAAGTGATCAGTGTCTTCTCTGTACTGCTTGCTTGTACAGATACTTTCCCAACTTCAAATAGGATATCATCAAGAGGTGCGTCAATGAATTCTGGCTTCCAGGATTCCTTGTGGCTGGTCTCAGACTTTATCCCTGGGAGCAGTCGCTCATCTTCTGCCCACAGCAGCAGTGCCCGCTCTAATACACCCAAACCAGAGTCGTTACCGCTGCATACCACCCACGGCTTCAACATCACTCTCAAGGAGGAGAACGTGATTGCAGACCGCAAGGTGACTAGTGTCAGTGGTGGGATCACCTTCACCAGTCGCCCTGTTGAATGCAACGAACGAGTCCTAGTCAAGGTTCTAGCGGTCAATCATTGTTACATTGGACACATGGGCATTGGATTGACGTCTTGTGACCCAAACTCCCTGGATGTAGACTCCTTGCCCCTCGAGGCAGAGGATGTGTGCGACCGCAAGGAGTACTGGGTCATGTCGCGAGATTACGAAACATTACAGGAGGGGGCCTGCCTAGGTTTCACCCTGGGTAGAGATGGACGCTTCCACATGACTGGACCTGAAGGTGCTGACCACAAAGTTTTGATGCATGTTGATACATCTACACCTCTATGGATGTTCTTTGACCTGTACGGGACTACACAAACAATTAAAATATTAGGTTAGTACTACTACATATAAGATGTTCCTTTTCTGGGATAAACATCTTTTTGGATGGGCAACAATAATCACTGTATTGGCTGTGTAATCTGTATGCAGCAATTTAAAATCAACAGAAATATTCTTTGAACTATTGTTCAAATTATGTGAGCATTGGTTTAAACCAAAATATTTATTGAGTGACCAAACTGTGTATGCTACAAATTTTACCCTGACTCTGAATATCAAGCATTTCATTGTATCCCTCCCGAGCTTTCATCATATTGAAAGTTCCCCCCCCCCGGAGATGGAAAAAATTAGGCCATTTTTGGGAAAGGAAAATGACCTTGTCTAAATTAAAAGTGTAGATAAAGTGTCATTGGATTCCTGCACAGTGGAGTACTTGGGAGGATACGGGAAGATTTTTTTGTGAGAATGTCTAGAATTAACGATTAATATTCCACCAACTTACGGGAAATAGTCACGTGGATTAACAGTTTCTCTAATGTTTAAACATTCTCAAACAATTCAAATTTTGCTCCTCAGATAAATCTGAGGAGACATACTGCCATGATACCATACTCACATACATGTCCTTTAACTCGAGTGTGTACTTTGGCAACTCCCAACACCTTCAGTGGTTGAAGCAGCAAGTTTCAATCTATGTGAACTGGTTACTGCCTGAGTGCCAGTTGGTATGTGTACCTTTGTACTGCATTCTCTGGTGGTAGGATTATTTGATACATCCTACATACATGTATGCCATGCAGTTTACATGTACGCGTTATTGATTTTGACTGAAAGAGAAGCTCTTTATCCAGCATGAACGTTGGCATACAAAAAGGAGTGTTAATATACATGTACATGTACAGTGTTCATGTACATGAAGAATTAATGCTGTGGAAAGTGAGGTTTCTGTGTAATGTACCAAAGTGCGTGGTTTACATTTTCCAGGTGCACTGAAGAATAAGCCACCTCCTCCACCACCTCCTATTCCAGACCGAGAGGCCAATGACATCAACTTGAATATATTTGATGAGGCTGATGGTGCTGTAGCCTCTACTGACTCCCTGGATGAAACAGAGGCTGTCCCCACACCCCCTCCAAGACTCAGTTCCACCTCTTCTACTAACAAGCCAGCCAGGCGGGCCCCTCCTCCTCGCCCTGCCAAACCCCCGCTGCGCCAGGACGAGTGTACGGTGTGCTTTGAGAACCCACCCAATGCTGTCTTCTATCGCTGCGGCCATGTCTGCTGCTGCCTGGAGTGTGGCTCCAAGCTGAAGGAGAGGGGAGACCCCTGCCCGCTGTGCCGAGCCCCCATTGAAGATCTCATTAAATTCTACAAGATGTAGGTGGGTTTGCAGGGTTTGCTGTTGATAATACCTGCACTTGTTACTTAATAAGGGTGGGATGTACAAGTAGGCCTGTTTGATATCCATTTTTTAAAAACTGAAATATCGGGGAAAATATATTTCAATATTCGATAATATCGTGATGACGTCATTTTTTCTTCACGTCAGTCACTGACTCATTGCTGCGTCACAAGCCCCACATAGCACAGCACAGTGAGCTGTAAAGCAAGTCAATTCCCACCATGCCTATGCATCGGCATCGTAAATACCCCTGTCAGCAAAGCCCATCTTTAATTCTGTATCGAACGGTTCAGATTACCCATACGCGTATTAAATCTTGCAGTATCAAATTTTACCTTGAAGTGGTCAATCATAATTGCAAACATTGTGGACGCATTTCTCGTTTTGTAAGTAAAAGAAGTGTAATGTTTATGTACATGTACAGTGTACAAGTGCATGTACCTTGTAGTGCCATGTTTGTAGTGCCATGACAAAGCCGTTAAGTCACCGTGTGCGTAAAGGAAACCAAGGAAGTCAAGTTTAAAGAGCACCTCTGGGAAAAACATGTTTTCTCTGATTTTATCTGTTCAAATAAATAAGGAAGCATCTAAATCGAACGCAGTGCCATTTGTCTTCAGAGCTCAACTATAACAAGTTAAAAAGGGCTTTTTTCTGTTCATGACAAGATGCGAATTCTGAATGTAGATTGCATCCTTTGGAGAGAACAGAAAACTAGAGGAACCCTGTGCATGCCAAACAATGCATGTAGCTATTGAAACTCTGAAAGTCATTTTGATTAAACAGACAGATCCAAAAGTCATGACTATTGAGTACATGTACATGTATGAAAGAGAATTTGGAATCTAACATACATGTAGTGAGTGACCTATTGCCCTGTAAATTCTCTTGATATTTCTTTTCCTTTCGGCATCCATGTACTTTTTGAGAAAACAAGTGGAATCTAAAACAATAAACATTGCTAGTCTTAAAATGCCCCATTATCAGTTTACATTCTTACATACATGTATGGTTGGTTGGATCATGTGCATTGTTGAACCTACATGTATGTAATTATGCATGAAAACACTGAGGTAGGTGGCACTGACCTCTGTAAAGTGTTAATTGGCTAAGCATTTAAACAGTATGGGAAAGTTTGTGTAAACATTTTTCAAATTTAATCTAATTGGTTGGTTTATATTTCATTTACTCGTGTAATGACATTAATGGGGAGCAAATTCAAAGTGAAAGTAACGCTGCTCCTGGTTATTTGCTGCATTTGCCATGTATCCAATATGTGGAGAGTCTGAGCTTTACAGCTTCCTGTGACTTCACACATTTTTCATGGTTTGAATCACGCCGGGTGTGAAACACCAATAGCCTGCCTGCCGCCCTCATGCATTGCCTCATTCCCATCCCCTCCCTTACCCTATGCACCGTGAGTCAAAGTGCACCCTCACTGGCAAAAGAAAGACAGACTGTTAAAAAGTTTTTCAACTGGGTTCTTGCACGCGTTCGGCATGCGTGTGGAGACCAAACATTCCAGAATAAAATTGCTCTGCGTACTCAGTATGTTCTGTGTCAAGTGCACGTAAACTTGCGTGCCTATGTGGTGAGTCGGTACATGTACCAAAGGACTCTCTACATGTATTTCCTTAAAAAACATGCCCTCTTTTGTTCCCACATGTTGGGAGCGGATAGGAGATGACCCTTCACCTGGCCCAGAGTCAGCCAGGCCAAATATGCAGATAATGGCACCATGGTTCCTGTAGTGTTTGAAGGCCATGAAACCAAAGTAGTGCTTTAAGTTGGACATCCATTACATACTGTGCATGTATGTACTGGCACATGCACAGCAGCATTACTTTTCTTGTCTTAACAAAGTTTAGAGTGCCAGCCAGCAGTGTCGGTATTGTGCTTGAGACAAGATTTCTTCTTAGGTTAAATGAATAATAAAGCATGTAGATTGCTCAACTCTTTAATATTTCCAATGAAACCAAATGTTGAAATGTGTTGAGCACGCTCACAAGGGTTCAGTTAGCAATGGACTCCATCATGTCCATGGAGAGTGGGAGCAAAATGATTTCTGAACAATTTTTAGCTGTTTAAGGTTCATGATTTTCCTGTGCTTGTAAGTACATGTACATGTATGTGCTCATGTGCTGCTTTAATATTGGGCAGAATAAGTACACTGTACAATGTATACATGTACATGTATATGGGCAATTCCATGGCTAGTTTCATTACATTTTAGGGGTCTCATCACAGCTCTTAGGACTCAATCATCAAGGTGAATGTCAGAAAACTCTGATGAAGGTGCCATTAGTACTTGATGCACAGACAAACAAGACCTCCAAAGAATATAAAAATCAGACAGTGCAATAAGTTTTAACAGGAACTTTAATTTTGCTTAGTTATGCTACAGAAAACGGGCAAGGGAAGAAAATGCATCTCTTTGCATGAAAAGTGTCCTCATCAGGAAAGCTTCTGAAACCAAGTTAATATTGGTATATTTTCCCACTGAAAGGCAAACGTTTTGACATAAAATGTGGAACAATTATTATTTTCATTTTTAAACATTTCCCCCAAATCATGGATTGTTATGTTACAGTTACTGATACATGTTTACGTTACACTTTGTCTATGCCCATAGCATTGTTAGTACATGTAAATCCAGTTGACTCTGGTTTAAACAGCAAAAAGAATTGTTGTCTTAACAAATAAGTGAAAACAATAATCACATTGAATCCTAAGCATTACAAAGCCTTTATCAATTCCTGTCTTCCTGGAAGTGTACACAGAAGTAATAATAAAGGGAGTATACATGTACACATGCACTAGTACATGGAATAAGAAGCAATTATCTGTACAAAGTCTTATGCATGCGTAATCTTATACATGTAAAGTGATTACTCAACAAACTACATGTACATACATTTAATATACGGGTGTATGCATCATCATTCGATTGAATCTTCGGTTTACCTGACTAATTTCAAACAAATTCAAAATGAAATACAAGAGGAGCACAATAATAACAGTCTATAAATCTGTCTTTACATGTAGGTAGGCTAGGTACAGTGTACATGCGGTACATGAATGCTCGTATCATGGTTTGTTGAGCCTGAGACAATTCAACTTGGGCTACATGTAAATTTGTACTTGCATTTTCTTAGATTTTGAGAGAAAACTTGAAGTGTCCTCTATTATTGACCACCTCTGGGACATCTCACTAATAGCAACTTTTTGTCCTTCAAGTGGATTGAAGATGTATACCGATGTACATGTAGTCCTTTACAGCAGACCATTTGCAATACTTTCTAGCAGACATGCATGTACCAGTCTCCCTCCCTTATTGACTCATCCTTCGTCTCATACCGAGGGCAGCAGATGGATGATACTTCTTGTTTTCATGACATTTTCTGACTGTAGCAGTTTTCTTCTTTTTTAAAATAAATTTGTCGTACCGACCAGATGCCTTCAACTTGTGTATGATGCACCTTTTTTTTTCTTCGCTGGTCAAAGGAAATACTGACCTAAGGACACATTCCAAAGAAAAATAAACAATTTATGTTAACCAGATTTAAAAGTTTTGAACTTACAAAGTACTATTCAAGTAACATTAAATTCACAACAGCATGGGCCTGCATGTTCTCATTTTGCTTCATATTAAGTATACATGTACCATACATGGAGATGCCTGCTCTTGGTGACAATTGAGCGTTAATGTTCTAAAGGCCAAGAGGAACAGCCCAAAACTGCAGTTATTAAAAAATTAAATGCAACTTAAAAATGAATGAAGATTATATGATTTTAATAAAAAAAAATTCATCAAGCTTACAAAAATGAAGAGCACTCCAACCACTGTAGTACTGACACTGTATCACACAACTCTCAGCTATCCAGTATTACTGGCATGTGCTACACATGCTGCATTCTTGCATGTTTTCTTCAAAAAGTTAACACTTTTACTACATGTAGGAGGAAAATTAAAATATACACTTACTCTACATGTACATGTATATCAGAATGACCTGCACTTTCTTACTCACCTTATATGCACTTTTTCTGGAGTTGTTAGAACTTCCTGTTTTAAACAAGGTGTTTGCTCGGACATAATGGCTGCAGCAGCATTTGAAACAAGAAAAACGTGATTACTTTAAATGCATCATACTGCCTTCTATTGTTCAAACTAGTCATTTTAAAAACCAAAGTCTTTTTAATGTCAAATTGGCAGCACCTTGCGTACATTAAATGTTAACTTTGGTCATGTTGGTTAGCTACAATGTACATGTACGTAACTTTTTACTTGAATATGTTACACGGTTGGTTATGTTACAGGTTTTGACTGTCTGTTCATATGGTTTTGTAAACAGTTTTTTCCCGAAACTTAGGTCTGTATGCTATCATGTATTCATACAAAGACGTTCCTCTCAAAGAAAACAGTTCTAAATTTTAGGGTCTTGTTCACCTCTTCATGGAATTGCCCATACCTGCACATGTATGTTGTCTTAAGATAAAAAATTGTTCATGAATGATTTGGATTTTGTTTGATGTACATGTGAATCAGAAATGTTGTGTTTTTATACTGAAATTTTTCAGAATTTAATTCAAGTTCAAAGTAAACAAAATGAAATCTTATCCCCATTTCTAACTGAAATATAAATAACTTGTATCTGCAAAATAGTTTTACTTGAAGAACTAGTTGCAGTACATGTACACATGTACTCAGTCATGAAATATCACATCATCATTAGGGCTGAGTCAATTCGAATAATTCACTACCAGTTGAATATTCAATCTTCAATTCAATCGAATATCTCAATATTCCTTTGTACTGACAGATTGTTGAGGAACAAACCATATACAAAATCAATTGTGATAATGCACATAATTGTACAGTATGATCACTACAGTAGTTTCTCACATCTAGGAGTACATGTATCTCCAGCCATGCTTTACTTGTTGCAAGATTAAGAGATGAACAATAACCCTTGCTCTGTTCAAAATTTCTCTTCCTTTTCAATTGTTTAATGAATAATTCACATGTTGAATCATTTTTCATTGAATCTGCTTGAAACAAGCCTCCATAGTGCACGTTTTCTCATTTACATGTAAAACAAAGGAAATTCCCCGCTCCTTTTATTGAATTTTTGCATTTGAATATTCAAATACAGATAATAATATTCGATAATCTATGGAATATTCGGATATTTGGATATTCAGCACAGCCCTAATCATCATGTAATATTATTTGCAGTTACCATGCCTTAGGTAGCACTACCCATCTTTTGAAATTCAGGGAGACAGTGAATGGCATTGATGCATGCATACTGTATAGCTATAACTATAATACAGCTTACTGTACGTACAGACACCTGACAGAGGTACTGGCATTGCAGTACCATACAAATATTGACAATGTGCATGTATTGTACTTCAAGTAACAGGTACCAGTGTGACCAAACTAATCTGCCCAGGTGATTGGACATGTGTTCTCTCTTTTTCAGTCAAAGCTAAGAGAAAATGGAATGCGCAATGGGTCATGTACATGTAGCTTGTAAAGTAATCAATGTTTGTTTTATAACCACTTGCCCACAGATTCAGCACAGTGTTAGAGTTGTACTGTATTAGTTAAACCCCAAACTCATGCAACTGTTAACACACCATTACCTGTTTGCACACAACATACTGTGCATATGTACATGTAGCGGTACCTCATACCATTCGTATGTGTATCAGTTGCAAAATTTCGAGAGTATGGGAAAGGCAGCATAACCGCAATAAAACAAAATGCACCGAGAATTTGTATGTGTTCACAAACTTTTTGTTTTGTTTCCTTAACACTCGAAACAGAATCTGCTGAGACTAATTCAAGACATAAAGTTGCAAAAGATGTTACTGTGTAGACCCATAATTACATGTACAAGTTTTGTTTTGAGTTTACTGCATGAACTCTCAGATATTATAGATGTTTACACGACGGTCATGAAATTGAAATGTTATACATGTATATGTATGTATTTGTCGTATCTCTCATCACATACATGTATATGGCATGGCTTTGCTGGGTCAGAGCCATGGAAGCCCTTTCCATGTTTTGAGTGTAAACAGGTAAAGTGCACAAGTTTGGCCCACATCACAGCAGTTAATTGTCTGGTAAAATCCGGAAAGCACTGTTCATCAGTAAGATTAAAAGTTGTAACTTGCTCAGCCAAAAATTGAACCTGCTTTATACTTGCAAAGTGATCTGCAAGCAGTTTGAACTTTCCTGCAGGATGTGAGGGTTTACAGAAAGACTCTGTTGAACCAAAAAAATGACATACTGCTTCTTTTTGATGTGTGAAAGGGGTCACATACAGTGAAAGTGAAATTAATGATACATGTACCGTAGATGTCACATTTAAAACTATGCTTTTGACATGTTACATACATGTACGTGTATTACCGATATGTGCACAGGCAGGAAGTGTACATACAGTACATGTAATGTATAGTGTACATGTACATGTATGTTTGCATGTTTGCCGCTCTTCACATGTACGTGCACTGCATGTGTTAATGCCCATTTACGCAGATGAGTTGTGACAGAAAGTGTTGATGGAAAATGACATGCAATGTGTATTTTTATTCTTTATGTTACATTTACACATACATGTACATAGGGTGGAAACTCTCAAAGCATGGAAATCGTCATTTACCATGTTTACTGATTTTACCAGACTAAAATAGTGCCCACAGTAAGAATCAAAGGTTCATGTATGAGGAAGTGCTCATTATACCAGTCAAACAATGATGTCATATCTAACAGACAGCTGATTGGCATTGAAATGTCTCATCACAGTATCTTTGAAACATCACTCAGTTTTCCAAACTGAACTGTGTACATGTATGCCCTCTCCTTGTGTAAACAGTCTCATAGAAAACCACTGTGTTAGATACATTTATGTATGTTGCATCAAGTGGAATTCTATCATGTTTCATCATAGAGCTGTGTGAATGGACTCTGCCTCCAAGGAACTATGTGGTGAGAAGCTCACAATGACAGGTGTTTTTGATGTTTAAGTCAGCGTACATGTATATACATGTACGTACGCTACATGTTAAATGTCCTCTGTAGCAGAAAATTCCTCAGAATACTTAAAAATAGTAAGATTTAGAAAGCGTAACTTCATATATGCAGATTTCAGATTAAAAATTTGCAAAAAGTCTACAATGTACAGTATGTGTTTGTATTAGAATTTGTTGGTAAATTACCTTAATGTACAGATTATGATTTAGGCAGCATTTTTAGAACTAAATTATGTGTGTTGTCTTTTTGTACATGTATGAAGTGGACTTGAATTTACCAAATTATGTGTACCAGTACATGGTTGAAACTCCACTCATCAGGAGTCCAATATAGAAAGTGTTTCTTGCAAAATGTGAAGAAACTCAACAGGTAGAAAAAGTTTCTATGGAATCGAGATTTCAAGTCAAATGCTTAATTGACTGAGCTTACATGTAGCAAACTGAATTGAAGTTGAAATGGAAAAGTTACATTGCACAATTCAGTATGGGTATACATGTAGAATGATTTTCAGTTTATCATCCCAATCAGAGGTTAATTGCTATACTGTTCGGTTTAATGTAACCAGAACTCTGTACATGTACATGTACAAGTAAGGCATGTGATGATGCCACATAAGTCATGTTCAGGCGCGTGTACATGTTGTCATGTATTCAGGTGCTTACCTTTCTGTAGATGTACATGTATGTGATTGTTGCATTACCAACAGCATACATGTGGTGGGGCACTAGATTTAGGCTAAGACAATGAGCCAAATACATGTATACTCTCTGCTCACAAACTCTGATCTTAAGCAAGATGGTGACCAGATTACATTTGTGTATGTACATGTATGTACTGTACATGTACATGCACATGTAGGTTACTTGAAGCAGTGCCTTGGCATGCAAAGTTTATGTAATTCAGATCAAGGGTTGAAATACTGGTAGTACATGATGTTAACATCGCAAAACGCTGTTTCAAGGCTCAAACAAGATATACATTCATACATGTACATGTACTGTAAATTTCACTTCATAATTCCACTAAACCCTCAAGTGCTTGATGGAAAGTACATTAATTGAAATTGGAGGATTTGGGACTGTTAGGGTTAACATGCGTGTACATGTACAGTGTATCCAGTACATGTACATGTATCAGCTGTTGACCAATTCACAACTACATGTAGGTGCTCACTCTCCAAATAAAGTTGAGAATGAAGAACATGTATGTAAAATTTGAAGGGCTATGAAGAAAAATCACAATGACACAACCATTGGCCATCCAACAGTTGACTTTGTTATGATGAAGTCCAGGCTGTGCAACAGATTTCTTTGCCACACAAACTGATGTAGATGTGATGATAAGTTCTGCAGCTGGTTTTATGGGCCAGCTTGTCATGCTTGTGAATAGAAACCAAACATTATTTACAGAGTTATATTAAGGAAGTACTTATTTGATGTCAGTCACTCTTTTGGACAAGTCTATTGTATTTTTTAATAGAAACACTTGAATTGTTACATGTACATCTTCAATCAGTCCAATTTTTGTAAGCGTGCGACTGCTCATGCTTGTCAAGACATATAATGACCATGTACATGTATACTTGTGCATTCCATATTTCAAAACCGAGCTTTAAAAATGTTAATGGCCAGAAGAAGGAAGGCAGTACATCTATGTCATGAGCTTTGGCAATGTTGAAAAATGATTGGACAGTACATGTACATGTATGTCTCACAGAATTATTCAGTTGGAGGGCGTGTATTTACGCGTACTCGACAATAATTTGACAATAAGGTTTTCAGGCTTACATTTAACATATTGTACATACATGTTTCTGTGATCAAAATTTAGTGTCAGATTGGGCAGTTTGTAATGCATGTATGTATCTACTGATTTTCCTATCAGACACTGTGTGTCTTAATTTTGTATAATTAAGATTACAATTTTTTACAGTCACTCTGTATCATTTCTACGGACCAGACTTGCAAGTAGAAGTTAGAATTTCGAAAAATCTTCTAAAAATATCCCTGCCTTTAATTAGTTTCACTCCATTCATCACATGCACGGTATAATTATCCATACGGTATAAGTTAATAAACATTGTCAATCTTTTGAATTATGATGCTGTTATTATCATGTGTAAATAGCAGAAGGAACTGTGCAATTTAAATGTCAACAATTATGCTTACATTAAGTTAATTTCTATTTCATTAATGATGTAGGAGATGAAGAAATAAACCAGTGTTAACGTTCAGAAAGGACTAGGCTAAGGCCATTTGTGTCTGCAAGGTTTTACGTTTTACAAAATTTGTAACTAGTATATATGTATGTATATACCCAGTTGAAAAGAGAAAGGTCTTCCATTGTTGGGTGTGTGAACAAAGAACTCTGGAACAAAAGCTGAAATGACGAATTTACCATTAACTTGTATTTGAACATACAGTAAATTGAAGTGTTCCAATTTATTTAAATTATTTGAAAAATATTATGCTGGCAAAATAAAATGTTGGGTTTC